AATTAGGATTAATACTAAAACTATGCACTGCATATGTACATGTATTATGTACTAAATTTTTGCAAAAAAAAAATCTAAAAAATATGTGACATAAACCAATTAAACTTGCAAGTCTTTAACTGCTAAAAACAACAAACTTATTTCTATTTTTTGAATATAAAGTTAAATAATTTATACTCATACATTCAACAAGATTACAGCATATACATGTACATGGCTACATCACAAATGGCCTCAAGTGACAAACAAAACATTACATGCAACATCCATTACAAAACATCCATTACATGTACACATGTACATGTACTGGATAATTTCTATATAATATACAGTGTATTACAATAGCACTGGGTCTTACATTGGGTATGAAAGTTGGTGGTATGAGTCCAGCCTCTAAATGAGCAAAGTCTATCGTCTGGAAGAAAGGAAGTTCCCCCTTACATTCAATAGCACTTTGTCCTTCATAGTGAAGTTATACTACCAAACAGTGGCTGATAACTTGATATTCATACAATCTCATCATTGCATGTCATTATTATTTTATACATGTTATTATGTTATTATCTTATTACTTGTGCTTCTGCTTTAGCTTGTCCAGTGCTCTCAACAGCAGCTGCTACTGCTTGTAACTCTAACAACTCCTTCCTTGCTTCCTCTGCCTCCTATCAATAACAATGATGAATTTGATGATTATACTGTTTTCTGTTTGCCAACAGAAATCATCGAAAGGGAGTGCAAGAAAATGTTGTAGACATGTGCATGTGTACTCTAATGAGAATAAACTAAAGTGGTGACATATTAATATACTTTCATTATTCTTTAACATGTTCATAATATTAATTACCTTTTCATTTTGTAGTTTTTGTCTCTCTAGTTCTCCTTTTGCTTTTTGTTCAGTTCTCTGTGCCTCATGCTGTGCTGACCTCTCTATTGACCTGTCCATTAGTAACATTATAACAAGCAAATGTATCACAATAATGAAAGAAGTAAACTAGGAAGGAATAGCCAACTGTACATGTACATCAGACTTGAAAGATTGCTATAATAATGTAGTCAGCTTTTGATGGTCATGTATCATTCTATGCATTTTCTTTGACTACTAGAAGAATGTAAAACATTAAGGGGCTTAGCCCACAAGTGACTCTATTGTTGTGCTATATGACCTTCCTTGTGCTGGAGAAGTTTTTGGACAGCAGTTTAGTCTTATCTTGCTGACCGTTTGCTGCAAATTAGCATAGACTTGCTGATAGCCGCCATTTTATTTTTCTTTCATTGTGACAACACCCGCTTTCAATGAAGATTAGGCTATTTAACTTTAACAATAGTTAGACGATCCTATGCCCAACATACAAACATACTTTTTCTCATCTTAGTGGGCTTTGCCCAATCATAACTGGTTGCAGATTCATCTTAGCCTTTGTTATCTGATCCCCCCCCCCGATCAGCTATCATTTTTATAGGAAGTAGCTGGTCACTCTGGACAATGAGCTACTATCATAACAAGACAAAGAGTCCATGGCAGCAGAGTGGATAACATTATACATGTACTGTATATGAATTGTAGATGAAGTGTGGACTCACTTTGTAGATATCTCAATTGCCATTTGCACAGATTTAGATAGAGAGTCCCTCATGTGATGATCAATTGGTTCAATACTTTGAATATCAATATTAGTGATCACCTACACAATACAATGTATATAATGATAATGATAAACCATTATACACAAGTTGGTAAAGGGTCTAGGATAATGAGTATAGCTTATCTTGCTAAGAATAGGGGTGAGCCTATTATTCCAGCATAATTTTAGGAATAATTGGGGCTTCCTCAAGTGAGGCATAATGCTGGAATAATTAGGAGGAAGTAGGAATAATGGTGGTCGTCATCAAGCTGATGACCAGTAGCAACAAACGTGGCAATGAATATATTATGCTATATAAAGTTACAGTTAAGTAACCGTAACTTAATATAGCATTATATTCATTGCCACATTTTTTGCTACTGGTCATCAGCTTGAGATAGCAGTGTAATTATAGAATTGCTATAATAACAAAGCTACTACAAAAGGTGGCTATGTAAAATGTGGTGGAAAGGCTGGGCTATTTGTACACAAAGGCATTGCTTCACAGCATAAAAATGCACCTCTGGGGCAGTAAGGAATGTCAGTACTAATGTCCTAATTGGCATAAATATGGTGCTTGCATTAGTTACTACACCAATTCACCAGGTTATTAGCAGTAAATATCACTTCTTTATTAACTTCTCCATCAGCATTCTTACCAAACACAGCAGCAGTTATAATATCAGCTGAATGTTTGTGGAACTGTTCAAATGGTATAGAAGCAACCTTCCCTCTCACTTTACTAGCTGTGAAAAATGACAAGGACAGTGATGTGTAATGGTATTCAAAGGAGGCTTAATTAAGTTAAGAATTTGATTATTGTAATAAATATTTATAAAAGTTTTTTACTAGTATTGATGT